CCCCCCCCCCCCTTTTGTCAACAACTGTCTAACTTTCAATGACCCCCCTCCCCCCTGAATTTGCTGGTTTTATTTAAATTGCGATGTACTGTGGCGCCTCCAATAATAAACAACTTAACAAGCCGACCAACTTTTGGTTTTGCCCCCCCCCTTTTTTTCCCCCCACTGAAAAAACCCTGAAATGACGCCCCTGATGGGCATAGTCTATAGTTGCTGATTTAACATTTTCATCTTGCGGAACTGATATACCAGACAAGTCAACATCATTCTCATCCAACCATTCAGCACTTAAAATAGAAGCATTGTCGGTGTGAGCAATAATTGCCATAAGCTCTCTCTCTATCTACTTGCAGCTACTCGCATTGGTCGAATCCTTTTTTTGTTGAGGAGCAGGTGCTCATTTCTTATGCTCAAGAGGGCATTGTCGCGGCTATTGACAATAAAAGCCTAAAAATTATATGACTATAATTTACACTCAATCTCTAAACACCCCCTCCCTCCCCCTTGTCAATAACTGTCAAACATTTCCACCCCCTCCCTCTATTTTGTTGACATAATTAATGGACGCACCGTAATATAGTTTTGAGATTTTGCCGGTGCACAAACAAATATTTTTTTCACGTTCTTTCTTTGTCAAAAGTCGCATGATCATTTTTTTCCCCTGTATACAAATTGAAAAAAAAAAGAAAACTTCATTAAAAAAAAAATAAATATTTACATTTTCCAGTTATTAAATAAAATTTCTGTTTCAAATTTATTTCTCTGTGCGTCTGTGCGCAACTGAAGCTATCTGCACTTGAGACTGTAGTAATATTTTATTTTTAAAAATTAAATTTGTAGTTTTAAAACATTTAAACCCCACTCAAAACTTGTAAAGGGACAAAATAATCCAATCCAGTTTTCCCCCACGTGGTAATATTCCGTTTCCTCTATTACCAGCATGCAAGATGTGGACACTTTCGATTCTCAATTATTTAGAACCATAGAATACCATATCGATACTAGATATTAGACTTCGTCGTGAATCAGGTGATTAAAATACAGTAATGTATTTAATATAACTTGTATTATTTCTGTTTTTGTTTGATAAAATTGAGATTCTCATGGTCAATAAAAAAAGTTGTAAAATTTCTTTTTGAAAAAAAATTTTGTGTGAATAATAGAAAGCTAAGTGTACAATGACGCGGGGGTATTTTGTACAATGAAGCACATTTTATTTAAATTATGTGTCATTATCATACGCAACATTTATTGTGAGGAATTAAGCCTGCTTATTTTTTATACATATTTTAAATTATAATTGTGCTAAATTTTACTCTCCAAAATTGACCTGTTCCATACAAGAAGTAATTTCAATTATTAAAAACAACCACTTAAAAAGGGTTTCGAATAATCGTACTCATAAAGTGTTATATCAATAAAACAATTCCGTCACCCTACATCCGGTCCTTTCTACGACGATAACCCTTAGTAGAAAGCGTGTTATACGTTTCGTGTCTTGAAAGACTTAATAGTAAGTAAAATTGTAGTTATAATTTACCGATATTTGTGCGAGTCTCGTATTATATTTCTAGATAAACTTCTATTAATAGTCTACGATAAATTAATACGTTGATTTAAATGAAAAGTCCGACTACGGCTACTACTGTCTTAAGTTGAAGTAGTCAAGTTAAAAAAATGTTACCTGTAACTGTAAGCGTACTGGGTAACATTTTTACTTGAAGTTTAAAGAAGAAAGATCAGTAACAGTACCAACATATCTAAGTCCATATGCCTTACAAGTTTACATTTGTAGTAACATTATCATTTGTCATGATTAGTAATATAGGCTAGGTACTTTGGTTAGAAAATTAAAACTTTTTGTAAAAATAAACCATGCCAATGGCATGAATAGAGCTAATTTTTTTTTAAAGAATTGTAACGCCAAAATCATATTTTTGCTGTTGTAGTTTTAAAGTTATTAATTTTTAAAGTTCGACTTAATTTGTCCTTTTTTAACGTTAACATGGACCGGATCTCCACATTCTGTGACCCAATTGAAATATATTGAAATGAAATTTTCCATTAATTTGTATTAAAATTCAACTTACATACACCTTTCAAAAGAAAGGAAAAAAGAAACACAACCCCAAAGCCCAATACCAGTGGAAAAAATCAAAACATCCATATGTTGAAACTTAGGTAACAAAAAGGAGACTATTGCTTAAATTGCATTTGGAATGATCTTCTAGGGATTTAATTTTGGAGGGGAGACCCCCTCCCTCACTCTAAATACCAAAATAAGAAACAAAGAAATCCTCTGGGAAGGGAGACCCCCTCCTCCAGAACTCTTCCCCAATTTAACAAAAAATATAAATGCATTATGTGAATACAAAAATCAAAATCTTTTTAGAATGGCACTGTAGACGGAAGTGGGCCAGGGGGAATCTCAGTGACCTTTATACCGTCTGCCTTACCGTTAACTCAAAAATCGACCGTATAGTCATTATATAAGTGGCTGTGAATGGTTTCCCAATGCAACGTTTTGCACACTGCCAATTATGATAATTTATAATATAGGCTCTTCCAGTTTTTTAAAGCTCAAATTAGGATATTCTTGTTTAAATGTCTTCCAAGTTCACTCTTAAACATAAGTTATCCAAACATTTTGATGTTAAACGTGATAATTGAATATTTCTCAAGTATCGACAACTTCCACCATTAAAAAGAGGGCGTGGTCCTATCCATCGAAATTGGGGTAAGCGACACTATGATTGGGGATAATATTAGATAATTAATAATGGGCGTATTGATTTTTTTTGTCTTGATGCTTTGAAGTTATCAGCTTATTAAGGTAAAATTTGTATTTCTGTGCCACAGTGATCAGTGATATATTTTAGTTGAGATAAGGGCATTTGACCAAAATTATGCTCAAAGAGTTCTTTGTTGCATGACTTGAGACTGTGGTGTTTTACTACATGCCTCTTGTCATCAGCATGTGGTCAAAAGTCCAATATTAATGAAACCAGGACCATAGTGCTGACTTCAGTAACCTATACTGATATTCAGTCTCCAGTTGCTGGTACATCTATTGTAATTTCAGTTCTTTTAATTAAAATAAATTTCCTGTTTTATAATTAGTGTTTCAACACATTGGTGTCACACTTGTAATGGTAAAGATATGTAGGTAGTTTTGATATTTTATAGGCTGTAGGTCCCCCTATATTTTATATTTCTTAAATTTATCTAGGATATCTTTTAGTAGTTAATATAATTGCCTTGATGCTTGAAAATGTTTACATTGCCAAATATAGATTTCTAACAATGTTAATTTGTAACAAAATTCTGATTTTCCAATATGAAATTTCACTCCCTTCATCAATTTTGAAAACCAGCAAGTGTGAAGATCCTTGATTGTTAATGAATAGAGTCGAAAATAATATAATGTCCTTAAAATTTTAACAGGCAGATGGCTTATGCAACTTATGGGTTGGTTTTTTGACAATTTTTATAGCTTGAAATTGATATAAATGCCTTTTTCTTAGATGGAGTATTTTCAATATTACATTTCTTCCAGTTTTAAATTAAATGATTAATTCTATGTAAGAGATTCATAAAGAAAACTAAAAGGGTTTCATTAATACTAATGAATAAAATAATTTCAGTTCATCAGAATGCGTTACGTAGCCGCTTACCTTCTTGCCAACCTCGGTGGCAAAGCTTCACCATCTGTAGCAGATATTGAAAAGATTCTTAGCAGTGTGGGTATTGAGGTCGAAGCTGAAAAGATCAACAAGATCATCAATGAACTTAAAGGAAAAAACATTGAAGAGTTGATTGCTGCAGGTAAATTTCAATTTTCAGATTGTTTTATAAAATTTATTGCACCTGTCTAATTCGCTAAGCTTCTATTTCAACTTACCTGTATTATGCATGTCATGTGCTTAAAAAAATGGGAGAGAAGCTCACTTCTACTTTTAAGCTTTTTCTTAACCCTTTACAGTCCGATGCGCCCGAAATGCGCCGATTTTTTCCTTAAGCCTACAGTCCGATGCGGCCGAACCCGCCCGTTTCGAGGTGTTTACTTTCGTTCTTAGCACAGCGGAAATCCATTGCTTTTTTTCCTTAAGCCTACAGTCCGATGCGGCCGAACCCGCCCGTTTCGAGGTGTTTACTTTCGTTCTTAGCACAGCGGAAATCCATTGCGCATTACTATTTATAGTTCTACCGGAAGAAAGCCTCGTTGTCGGCATTTATTTCGATACTAGTTTGACCGCGGTGTGTTTAGGGGCTGATTTTCTAAGATTTTTTTAAAAGTCGCGATTTTTTCGCTGTAAAAAATGGCTATCTAAGCCTTGGATACACTTTTGAAAGAACTTAGGCCTAATGAAGCTTCACTATTTCATGAGTGGGAGGGTCTCTGAAACTATTTTTAGGTTTAACTTTTGCTTTAATCATTTCTTTGTATTTAGGTAGTTATTTTATTTTGTTGCTTCTAGTTTATTTTCTGTAAATTAATTAAAGAACCTTCATTTAAAATGGAGTTATGTCCCTTTGCTTGGGCGCTGGGAGTAGACAAGGCTGAATAGGTTTGGACTGTAAAGGGTTAACTTAATCACATGGCAAAATTGAGGTTTATAAAGTTAAAGTCAACAGACCTGTTTACCCTCAAACTCTTAAAATCGTACAATATCATCACAAAATCGTTCAATACCTTATATTTAAAGTAAAAAATAAACATACAGTATATAATGTTTACACCTCCAAATCGTACATTGTTCGCCAAAATCGTAAGAGTAAACAGGTCTGAGTCAACGTCTTTTTATGATAGCTACCGGTACTGGGGAAAAAATCAGTATACTTTGTATTATCTTCCTTTGTGGTTTTGCAGGCTTTTTCAGCACTTAAAAATTTTGATGGTACAATGGGTAGTGTCTGAAATGTACTATTGCACATTGGAAACTAAGATGCCTTGTGTATGTAACTAAATCTGTAACATATTACACTTTCCTGATGCTGCACTAGGATCACCTGAAAATTTGTTTTCTAAACGAGTCTCATAGCCTATATTTTAATATGTTGAAATATTTAATTTTTTGTTATACATATATTTGGTCTGGCTTTATATGATCGAAGCTTTTTATACATCTTATTTTGCATAATTTCTGCCCAGTTCTCAAAGTCTATCATGTGACTGTTACTGTATTCAAAAAGAGCTATATCCATATCATATAACTTGTAGTTTTGGCAAGATAAAACATCTGGTCACACCTACCGTTAATTTTTGGGAAGATGATTTTACATAATCATACCAGTAGTCACCATGTTGTTGAAATATTACATTTATATGCGGATTATAAAAATTTATCTGCACATTTTGATAAATTTAGGGTACTTTGATCTCAAATGGATAAAATGTTTAAGCATTCTTGGATGGTACTGGTACCAGCATCTGAATTAACATATTTTTTAATTTTATAATTTTTTTTCAGGAGCCAAGAAACTTGCTTCTGTACCCTCTGGTGGTGCCGTTGCTGCTGCAGCAGTTAGTGCTGCCCCTGCTAAAGGTGGTGCTGCTCCTGCCGCAGCTGCACCTGCTGCAGGTATGTACTTACTTAGTCTATTGCTCTTATTAAAATTAAGTCTGGTGACTTTTTGGAATGTCATTTATTTATATATTTTGAAATAGACCTCTTATTGTTCATATTACCTCTGGACTTCAGTGGCTCTTAATTTCTTTGTGATCATGTTGGTGTTCTTAAATTGAGATATTTGTTTTTTTATACATGACAGCTGTTTAACAATTATTTTTGTTTGTCTACATAGCAGAGAAAAAAGAAGAGAAGAAGAAAGAGGAGTCAGAATCAGAAGACGACGACATGGGCTTTGGACTGTTTGACTAGACTTACTTTTTTATTCAATAAAATGTACAAGCCCATTTAAATATTTGTGCTGTTTATTCATTAGTACCGGTAGCGTTCTCTATGGTATGAACAGTTTGACTAGATTAGCCACGTGTGAGAGATGTACGATATATTGTATATATACAGGACTGTGACTTTGTATCAGATCCATGTTTTATAATTTATAGCTAACATAAAAGGGATTTTAGCATTGCATAAGATTATGAAAATTAAACCATACCAAGGTAGAGAAAAGTGTATTATTATGAATGGTGTTGAGAGAAATCAATTATTTTAAAAGATCTACAAGGTGGGTTATACCGGTAATTAGTTATATGTCAAAAGGTCATACTTTTTGAAAATCCTATAGTGTTATATTTCATCAATCTGACTAGCCTTCATTTTTTTAAAATTAATGGAGGCATACTATAAGACACCTTGGCAGTAACAAACAATATCAAATTTACTACAATAATGGGAAAATGCTACAGGTACATTTCGATGCAAACCATCGTCGTTTTCGGCATTGCCATCTACTGATTTGTGAATTTGTCATTTCTATACTAGTCACTAGTAATTAGTTGACTAAAATGTCTTTTCCTATTATCTCCATGTTTATCGTTGGCAAGCAACATCCTGATCTAGTTTTATAAAATACATGCACCCAGTCATCTCTAGGTGTTGTATCATTGAACCATTTCACAGCAATTTCACCTTCGTCAAGATTGGTCCATACAAATTTTTTAGGCATAATGAATGTCAATTCTAGTTGAGGCATTCCTAAATCCGATGTTTTTGGTTACCGGGTACCGTGAAACGGGGTGACTTTGCCTACTTTTGGCCTTAAAGTTTAAGCATAAATTTCAACATGTTAACTGATCTAAAAATTAACACAAAAGGTGCTAATGCACAGAGTGGGTACCTGAACTTTGTTGTTACACCGTAGCTGTATTAAGTTTAAGTCATAGTTTGATCGGGTTAAGTTGATTAAGGTTTTTTTTTTAGGAAAAATGGGGTGACTTTGCCCTTAAGGTGAAAGACAGCACAATGCATGTAGAAATTATAAAAGCAAGCAAATAAGTTATTTTCTTTTCTGTATTTAATGTTTAATCATATTTTTTTATTATAATGAAAGGTTGGAAGAAAACACCAGTTTACATAAAAAATGATTCTCGGTGATCTATCCTTTCGAGGCAAACCTTCATCAAAGGTTTTCGCATTTACTCCATGTAATTGTAATTGAAAGCTTCTGTAGGCCTGGTTGGTAGTAGATTATCTTTTACAATTCACACTTATCATTAAGCTGAGTGTCTTTAATATAGCCTCTATAGCTTCTGTTAATAGGAGTTATCTTGTTAAGTCATGGCATTATGATCTGGAAAAACGAGAACAAATAGAGAAATCAATAAAAAATCATTGTATTTGTATCAAGTATCAGTCCGTGGGGTGACTTAGCCCCTTGCTGTGAAAGAAAAGCAATAAGGATTTATTAAACTTCTTAACTAACAAAGTAATGAACCTTTTTATCACTGAAATTTATACACATTAATTTAAATGCTTAGGGAAATAAATTATAATTATAATTTATAATACCTTAAAATTAAAATGAAAGTTTAAACTCACCCAAAATATCGACGTCCTGAGCAGTGGCGTAGCTAGGGTTGGTGTCACCCGGTGCGGTAAACTCATGGTGTCATTTCCCCCCCCCCTCACCTTTCTATGATCGATTTTTTTCTTGTTAAAATAAGTCCACAGTATAGCATCAACCTTGAACTTTTAATAAAGCACGCATTTGGATTGGTTACATTTGTGAAAAATATATGTGTGATCGGTCATTCTTTTACTTTTATGAATCTCGATTTTTGCGAGCAATGTGTGCCCTGTAAATATGCAATTTTTCAATCGGGTGTCACCCCTAAAATGGTGTCACCCGGTGCGGTCCGCACCCCCCGCACCTGCCTCGCTACGCCACTAGTCCTGAGTCTAAGACTAAGAGCTCAAACAGTCAAATCTTATTGTTTGGCATGGTAAGGAAAGCGAAACCAGATAAAATCATAAAGTATAAAGCAACATGTCTCAGAATGTCTTCTTTCACAATACTTTCCACACAAAAATTAGGGGAGAGAACTCTAGAAAATTATGAAAAACAACTTTCTCAATATAAAATATAATATAAATATTTAATAGGCAAAGTCACCCCATTTCATTACAAGTTATTAAGTGCTGAAAGTCTTCAGGATAGTCTATATATTTATAGTTTATAGTTTCTTATTTTAACAGTATTAACAGGTATTCTTCAGAATTTCTCTAGATCTGGAAAAACATAGAGAGAAATCAATATGAAGTTCAATTTATCAGTCCGTTCAGTGGCGTAGCTGCGGGGGGTGCGGACCGCACCGGGTGTCACCCTCTCAGGAGGTGACACCCAATTGAAAAATTGCATAATTACAGAGTACACACTGCTCGGTCCAAGTGATTTTCATAAAAGGATAACCGACCACACAGAAAATTTCCACACTTGTAACCAATCTTAATGCGTGCTTTATTAAAAGTTATATCTATATGTTGATGCGTCAGAAATAAGAAATAATAAGGTCAGAAAAAAACGCCGTTTAAAAATGAATTTTTACCCATTAATAGTTTTAATTAGTGACGTAGCTAGGGGTGTGGACCACAATGGGTGACACCATCCCAGGGGGTGACACCAAATGGAAAAATGGCATATTTGCAGAGCACCAACCGCTCGGTCTAACGGAATTTCCTAAAAGGATCACACCCATCACACGTCAATTTTCCACACGTGTAACTAATCCCCATGATGCGTCAGAAACAACTTTTTTGACCATAATTCAACGCCTACTGAAGTGTTCGGTAACTTTGATAAATGATACATGACACGAAGCAATATTTATCTAAATTCTGAGAAATAAAGCTTTTCATTGAAACGAAATATGATGTGGTCGGACGATTCTAAGTTAATGAATCGAATCGGTAAAAATTAATAACATTAAAAATGAGTATGACACGAAGCAATATTTATCTAAATTCTGAGAAATAAAGCTTTTCATTGAAACGAAATATGATGTGGTCGGACGATTCTAAGTTAATGAATCGAATCGGTAAAAATTAATAACATTAAAAATGAGTTTTAACCTATTTTTAGGGTAAACAAAATAAAATTTTACAAAATTTTCGAATACTTTTTAATAATAAATTAACATTTTTTAAAACTTTTAAAAATATGTTTTTGAAACCAGATCTATCGAAACCTAGAAATACTCTAAAATAAATATTTTCGCCGATTCGTCACTAGCACCACATCTTAACATTGGACCACTATTGTAATACAGCATAATGTCTTTTATTACATGTTGTCTGTGATTTCAAGTTTATCTTCTACCTTTACCTTTGGGATGATCTACTTGAATAAGTTAATTTTACACAGAAGTATCTACAGACTGAAGGCTTCACTCTTGACAAAATGATAACCAAACTAGAGGCCTTAAGATTGTTTCTGCACGAGAATCGCTTTCACTTTGTGTAATTCTACTTGAATAAGTTAATTTTACACAGAAGTATCTACAGACTGAAGGCTTCACTCTTGACAAAATGATAACCAAACTAGAGGCCTTAAGATTGTTTCTGCACGAGAATCGCTTTCACTTTGTGTAACATGCTATTGAAAATGTACCGGTACTTTTAAAATCAGACCAATATGAAATTTCGTTAGAGTTAGAGAGAACAAAAAGGTTGAAGAAGAGATCGAAAGGAGAACAATTAATAGATGCTAGACTCTCACTGCGAGAAGTAAAGAGAAGAGAGATGCGTGTGTGCATTGCTGGCTTTCATCCTGAAATCCAGATCAGTGATCAAGGAATTAGCAGATATGTTTGGGGCTGTTCAACTCAAAGAGTCCACTATCAACAAGTGAAGTAGAGTTATTGGTGTCCGTTCCAAAATTAACCTCTTTCTATAATAAGTTATCAGAAGATGAACTTTTAAAAGAAATACTAGGCTTAGAAGAAACTAAAGGCAGCTGATATCGAATTCCAAAGTAAATTGAATCTAAACATAACTATAACTTAACGTTTTTACTTCTTCTTCTTCTATATTTTGAGGGCCTTCGTTCAATCTATTGATCATTCTGGCTCCTATAAATTCTTAAATACATTTATCTTCTGACCTTTAATTTTAATTAATTTGTTTTTTGTTCTTGTCATTGTTATAATGTGGACTTTTTTCAACTATAACAAATCCATCTTTGAAGTTTGGGGGTGGGGGGTGACACCACGAGTTTACCGCACCGGGTGACACCGACCCTAGCTACGCCACTGCTAACACCTGTACATTTATTATTTTTTTTAATGAAAGGGTTGGTTAAAAATAAGAAGATTTTGCCACACACTGAGAAAGAAACACACGAACAAAGGCGAAGTTAACAGTTAATATAATATAAAGATGGAAAATCATTGTCAATGGAATTTGAACAATAGGTTTTATGCTGGGAGTAAAACTTCTTAGTGATCCAATTTATAAAAAATAAAATTAATTAATAAGAAAGCACAAATAATAATAATTTTGTTAAATGTTTCTCAGAAATTTCATTGCATAAAAATAAAATAAAGACAATTTTTATGAAATACTCTGCAACAGTCCTACTATATGGAGCAGAGACTTGGAAAACAACAGCGAGCATTACGCAGAAAGTACAAGCCTTCATAAACACATGCATTAGAAATATCCTGAACATCAAATGGCCAAATACCATCACTAACAAAGATCTGCTAGAAATGACTAACCAGGTGCCCATTGATGAAGACATCATTTTAAAAAAATGATGGAATCCACAGGGGAAAAGAACGCGAGGAAAGCCAAAAAATACCGGTACATGGAGACCCAAGCTAGAGGCAGACACGCAAAATATGGGATACACCTAGAAGCAACTGGAAAGGAAAGCACAGACGCGTCATGAATGGGAAATTCTTGTGGACGGCCTATGCCCCAGACGGGGGTAAAAAGGCACAAGAAGAAAGAAGAAGACCCTGAAGTGCAACAAACAAACAGGGGCGGATTAAGCCATCTTGGTGCCCTAGGCACAAACCCACATGGGTGCCCCCTACTGCCCCGGGCCCCCGATGCTCCACTGACTGCTGGTATGTTCAATATTATGCAAAAAACTAACAAAGAAAAACAGGTGTGAAATGTAAACACATATGTTTGTACTATTATCACTCATATAAA